CCGCGCGCACTTCCGGCGGCGGAAGCGGAAGCGCGGCCGGCGGCGGCGGCGGGCAGGTAACTGGCCGGGCCGGGGACTCGTCTCGGTCTCGGTCTCGGTCTCGGTCTCGCACGCGTCCCTCTCGGCGGCGCAGCCCCGGCCGCCCCGAGGCGCTGCCTGCGGCGCCCGCCCCGAGGCGGCTGGAGCCGCGGGAGCGCCGTGCGGTGCCGCCCCGCCGCCGCCTTCCCGCCGCGGTCCCGCGTTCGCGCGCAGCAGGCCGGCTGGCTCGGCGTTTCCCCCGAGAAGGCCCGGCGGCGGCGGATCCGTGACCCGCGACCCGCGACAGGTACCGCGCGGTGCGCCTCGTGCCAGTAGCGCCCCGCTGGTGCTCGGGCGCGGCGCTGCCGGGGGCGCCGTTTCAGGGGCGGGGGGGGGCGCTGCGGGCGCTGCGCTGTCCTGCGGTGGCGGCTGCGGCTGCGGCTGGGCCTGCTGGCCTGGCAGTGCCCGCGCGTGAAATGTATCCTGCATTAAAAGGGCAACTTCAGATAGAATCCAGGGCTGAAAATTGTAGGAGAAGACCAAGCACAGGATTATATATATTTGCCCTTCAAAATAAAAATTTTAGACACCAGCAAAATGTGCAAAAAGAAAACTAAATTCTTGTGTGTATGCAAATTATTCATGTATAGCTTTAATATCTTGGGTTATTTTGCCCCGTGGTCCTTCCTTTTAGGCAAGGGAAGGTCCAGAGCTAAACCCTTTAGCTTCTCCCATCTCTCCCTGACCTTCACAAGGCTCTGGGATTTCACCAGGCACTGTCCACACACTTTCAAAATTATTTCTGTTGCTGTAAGAACTTGAAATTTGCTTTTCCAAAAAAAAAAAAAAATGTTGAAACACTTAGCATGCTGAATTGTGAATCCCCAGATCAAGTTGCACACCTGGAGCAGCAGCAAAAATATGACCCAGATCCCATCATTCATGTTTAAATAGTTCTTGAAGTAAAGGAGGAGGCAATTCTGCAAAAGCTGCGACTTAGCTGATTTGGGGTACAATCCTACGCTTTTACTTACCTAGGACTAAGTCCCAGTGAACTCGGTGAAAGTAGGATTGTTTTGAAAAGAATGGCTGAGGTTTATAGCCTTTTAGTTGCAGAGAATGATCAAACTGCCCCATCTACATTGTTTCAAAGCCTTTTCCCTCTTCCAACAGATCTGAACCATCATGCCTACTCCCAGGAACAGTCCGAAGAGTAGCCATGACAGACGAGCGCATGGTGGCAGACTAGAGTTCCTGTCTCTAAGTCAGAGGGGCCCAATACCCCCAGAAAGTCCTTCTCGTCGCACGGACCCCGCAGCAGGCCCCGTCCCTCCACAGGCTCTGCCCGAAGAGGACTGCATGAAACTGAATCCGTCTTTCGTGGGTATCGCCCTGCGTTCCTTGTTGGCTGTTGATCTGTGGGCCTCTAAGCAGCTGGGTGTATGTGCCGGAGAGGATTCCTCCTGGGGCAGTGCCCGTCCCCTCATGAAGGTTATAGAGGTCTCGGGACATGGCATTCCTTGGCTAGCGGGCACCTTGTACGGGCTCTGTAGAAGTGGTAGCTCAGCAGGCCGCGAGGTTCTGCTCAACCTGCTTTTCGGTAAGAGCGCCTTCCCTTCCCCAGGACGGCACCCCGCTCTCCCCTTTTAAAAAATGCATAGCGCCATTTGATTCGGTGGCAGTAGGCCCATTCTCAGGATGTAATGAAGAAGTGATTACAGGTCACTTCCTGAGTGTGCTATCTGTGAGAAGCATCTCCCACTGCAGTGGCCTCTGCTCCCATGCCTAAAGATATTCTTACCTTTTAGAAATACACATCTATAAAAAGCCATTGAAAGTGTAGCAAATGCGTTTGATGTTGGTTTACTATTAGTAATATTCATTGTGCCATATTTAATATGGAGCTATGCTTTTTCCAGTTGTGGAAAAGCACTGCAAGTTTTGACTTTGCTTCAGATATGCTTTCACTGAAATTTAGAATGAGTATATGCCTAGAGAGACATTCTAAATGCAGGTGAAGCCCTTATCGCACTGTTGCTGTTAGTGCTGTCAAGGCATCTCTGACTTACGGCAACCTTCTGAACGAACATCCCCCAAAACGGCCTGCCCTTCACAGACCTGCTCAGCTCTTGTAAGTCCAAGACGGTGGCTCCCTTTATGGGTTCATGCATCTCGCATTTGGTCTTCCTTTCCTCCTCCTGCCTTTGACTTCCCCAACATAACTGTCTTTTCCAGTGAGTCCTGCCTTCCCTTGGTGTGTCCAAAGTGTGACCGCCTCAGGCCTGCCATTTTCGCTTCTAGGGAAAGCTGCAGCTTGAGCTGATGCCGGACCAACCTGCTTGTCTTTCTGTCCATCCAAGACATTTGCAAAGCTCTCCTCCAGCACCATGTTTCAAATGCATCACTTTTCTTCCTGTCTGCTTTCTTCACTGCCCAGCTTTCAGACCCATGCAATAGTGTAGATGATCTTGGCCTTGCCATGGAACATCCTTAGACATGATGATCTTTTCTAATTCCTGCTTTTCTAAGTCTTCATCTTCTAGGAATTTCCTTCCAGTTCATTTAAATTGGTGACTGAGCCAACGTATCCAAATTCTTTCGCAATTTCAATTTCTTCATAGTTGACAGCAGCACTACAGAAGCCTTTTGTAGTTACGCAGTCCTAATTAAGCACTTTCTTCTTTCACCTTCATCAGCAATTGCTCCACATCATTACTGCTTTCTGCCTGTAAGATAATATCATCTGGGTATCTTAAATTATTCAAGTATCTTCAAGTACCAATTTTCATGCCTTCTTTTAATCCTTACCCAGCTTTCCTTAGGATTTGTTCTGTGTACTGACGGAACAGGTTAGGGAGGTAAAATACACCCTTGTTGACACCTTGGCCTATATGAAACTATTTTGTTTCTTCATATTCTGTCCTCGCAGTAGTTCCTATTTGCTGTCTCTGTGCTTCCCACATACGGCCTTTGTGCCTGCACAGAGCCTGTCAGCGATGGGCTGAATGAAGCCATGGTCACTCGAAGAGCAACCTGCCTTTTCTTGTCCGTGGTGCGGCTTGCACAGCAGGACAATCGAGTCCTGCGGCCCATCGATTTCTGACAGGATCCCTGGTGATCCAGCTTCTGGTGATCCATGTGGTCAAAGGTTTTGTTGTTGTCTGCAGAGCACAGACTGATCTGCTGAAATTCTCTGTTGTGTTCCAGCAGCCCTTGTGCCTTGGTGATACAACCTCGGCCACCTTGTGCCTTTCAGAATCCAGTGAGAAAGTCAGGCATTTCCCAGATAGGGTAACGGTCTTCGTTGTCGCACAGTCACTAGCTTGCTCTGGTGGGAAGTTAGAGCAATGACCCTGTGGCGCCGCACTCTTGTGTATCCTTTCTTGGGAACGGGACTGTTTCCAGTCTAGGCGATTGCATTGTTTTCCATAGTTGTTGGCATATTCTTGTCAGGATTTGAACTGATTCAGTCTCTGCAGCTTGGAATGGTTCTTTGGTATCTTATCTGCTCTGGGTGCTTTGTTCCTTCCGAGCGCCTTCAGAGCAGCTTTTGCTTCACTTTTCTAATATTTCAAAGAAGTTGGTCATCCTTTTATCTCTTCTGTATAGTTCTTCTGTATATTCTTTCCACATTTTCGTTATTTTCTCCTGGTTAGATAGTACGTCTCCAATTTGTCTTTTAGCATTCCTGATCTAGGCTTTGATTTCCCTTTGATTTCTCGGCTCTCTTGCTTGTCCTCTTTTGCTGCTCTCTTCTTTTTCTTGGAAGTGCCACGCATAGAACCAGAGAAGAGCGGAGTTGGGAGGGGCCAAGGAGGCCGCCGTGTCCGCCCCGCTGCTGCTGCAGGACCGTTTGCACCACCCCACTTGGACGACTAAGTGACATCCCGCCCCACTTCAGTCTTCTCTTCTCAAGGCTGAACATGTCCAAGGCCCCCAGTCCTTCATGCTAACTGCTGCGGTTTTTTGCTGTCCCGTGGCTCGCTTTGCAGGTTGCAGTGTGCCTTGATCTCGTGTTCAGGTTGCCGTTGCAGGTGTGCTGCAGCATCCGACTCTCCCTTCCCTCGGCGTGTGGTGCCACTGGACTTCCTTTCGGCTGTGACCTCGTGTCCTTAGTGACAGCACTCTTCGTACTTGTCCTTTGCCTTTTCCCAGCTGCTCTTTGAGCGCCTCCCCTCCCGGGAGTCTTTTCTTTTGGCGTCATTTCTTGCTTTATTTTGGAGTGCTTCAAGGTGAGCAGATGCAGATTGGTTTGCCATACCCTTCTCCTGTCAGTACTAACCAGAGTTAGTCTGAGCAGCGCTGCCTTTGTCTGTGAAGGACCCTCAGCCAGGGCTGCCCTCCAGGAGTGTCTCCTCCCCACCGCCGTCAGAGGCGTCCATTCCCTTCCTCTGCTGTGACCGTTGCTCCCGAGGAGGGCCGATGCCCTCTGCTTGGTGTCTCTGCTTTGACTGCTCCGCCTTCAGTGCTGCTACTGGGAGACCAGCCTAGCCAGAGAGCCTGGCAGCCTCGCTCTCAGCTTCTCTGGCACACTCAAACGGCGGACCACATCCAGGGCAAAGGTGGGGTTGCTGCGCTGAGGAGCAACCATTTCTGATGGGTTCATTTTACTGCTGGGAGGTGGGACTGGAAGGAAGGAGAAGGAAAAGGTGATGTTGCTTTCTGGTTTTGCTGCTGCTTGGATTTTTTAAAACTTGATACTCATGGATGTTCCATACAACAAACCCCACCCCAGAACAATGAAAACCGATTTATTCTTAGGGCACGTAAAGTATCCTGTGGGGCTTTAAGGGGAAACCAGAGTGCTGTGCACCGAGAGGCGGGCGTCAGCTGGCAGAAGTTGAGGCTGCCCTTGTGCTAAGAGTAGTTGTTCATGCCGTTGCTCTTGCGCTGCCTTAACGTTCCTTCTTCGCCTTACTTCACAGCTCTGGTGCTCGATCTAGCCTTGGTGGCAGCAGTGAAAGGGCTGGTAAAAAGAAGGCGCCCCGCACACAACAAGATGGACATGTTTGTCACTCTCTCCGTGGACAAGTACTCCTTTCCGTCAGGCCACGCCACCAGAGCTGCCATGGTGTGCAGGTTCATGCTGCATCATCTCGTGCTGGCTGTCCCGCTGCGCGTCCTGGTGGTGCTTTGGGCCTTTGCGGTGGGAATCTCCCGGGTCCTGCTGGGCCGACACAACGTGTCAGACGTGGTCTTTGGGCTGATAATGGGGTACATGCAGTACAGCCTGGTGGAGCACTTCTGGCTGTCCCCTCTCACTGCGCCCACTCTCTTCACGTGGTGGAGTTGATGCTCCTTACTGGAACAGGTCTCTTTGTCTCGCTACGAACAGTAGAACGTCGTGCTTCCTCTGATCAGTGAGTTGGATGGACAAGACTAAATTGTAAGCCACGCAGGGGTGAGATAAGATCAATCAAATAAATAAATAAGGAAGAGTAGGAACATTCATCTTAAGGGGCTATGTGAGCTGCTTTGGCTAATTTTGGAAGAGTTGTCCTGCTCTAGCAGGCGGTTGGAGCTGGTGGTCCTGTAGCCCTTTCAGACTCTTCTCTTCCATGATTTCATGAGTTCACTGGTGCCATCTCACTTTCTGAATATCTAACAAGATGTTTTAAGGGGCTGAAGCAGGAGCGATCCCGTAAAATGCTCAAAGAATCTCACAGGAAAATTGTTTTTACTCTAAGGACAGGATCACGTGAGATGACATGCCATGGTGGCTTCTTGCACAGGATGGGCTGTCGTATCGTCTGAACCCTGCCATGATATTTTATCTTGGTGCGTTTGGTTTTTAGAAACCACAGTAAAGAAGCGAGGCCTGATCTGCGGTTTCCATGGGCTTCATGTTGTCTCAAGTCACCCACGCCCAGCATCATGGCATGCAGTTGGCAGAGTCCCCGGAGAAAGCAGCTGCAGCCATTCACATGGGATCTGATTTCTGATGCGACCGCTGTCAACAGTGGGAGGGCTGAGTGAAGAGCGGGGAAGCCATGCTAGCCTGGAAACCCCTGGATTGTCTGTCAGGCACATCCTGGCCAAAGAGAGCGCGCTGTGGAAGCCACACAGGGTCGCTTGTGGTGATGTGTGAACTGAGCCTAACTCTAATGTGACTCCGGGGCCAACGAGCCAGTCATTGCATCTTATTTGCATAGGATTTTTGATTAGCAGCAATTATGTGAACTGGTAAAAAATGTGCCTATATTAGATACATCATATTGGTAGTATTGTGCATAAATTATCTATCTCTCTGTATATATGACTTTTACACCATAATTTTCTGATAGGTATTGTATCAACCTGGTTTTGTAAGGTATGCATTCCAACCAGCACTCTTGGCTTGTTTTTGAATTTGTAATGGGATGCCTTGTGACACGCTGACCATTCTGATTTCGGTGCAAAGTCACCGACTCCCATTTCTGAAGTTCTCTCTCCTGCAGAGCTCTTCAGCTTTATTGCACAGATTGGACAGACCTTGCCATTGGTCTTGCCTGCATTGTTCAGGGGCTTGTCATGTGCTGCCCTCTAGCCAGAGCCTGAAGGATGAGGGAAAAAACAGGTCTTCCATTTTTAAAACAAAAGTCTTAGCGGCTATTGAGGAAGAACATGGATTACATAGCAACCAACGCATACCTGGACTGGAGGGGTAGCTGGACTTTTTTCTTTCACAATTATTCTTGTTTCTTTTCTCCCAGACCTCCCCACCTCTTGCTCTAAATAATCTCTTGAATATTTACAGCTGCCTAATTCCCAGTTTTTCCAATTTGACATTTCTTTTTAAAGTGTTGCAACAGATTCTTTATTTTTACATGCACTGTAATATACATGGCACTGTTTTCACTTGAAACTTCTGTTATGAATGTCCACTGATATCCAGAAGAGTCGCTCCTTTGAGTACGCTGCATCAGTGGAGCAGGATCGTGTCCCAAGACACGGGTGTTGGTCCCATGGGAGACTGAAGTGGCCTTGTGATATTCCAATAGCATGGCAGAAACAGGAATGGGGAAAGTGCTCGCTCAAGTTGTGATTGCAAGCACCATTCTGCCTGAAGAATCAAGCTGATGGACGGACGGAAGGAAGGATCCTTTCTGGGAGAAGCGTGAAGAACCTGCTGCTTCCCACTTCACGCTTTCCAAAAGCGTAATCAGATGTGGGTGCTTCAAGGCAGCTCTGAAGTATGTCTCCTTTCTTGACTCCCAAATGCGAACGAAAGGATAATGGCGAAAATCATCTGTGCTGCAGTGCTGTTCTCTTGCGATGGGGAACCGTACTCGCCGTCCTGAGTGCAGCCCTGTGAATACACTGTGCTGTGCAGAAGGCTGAAACGATCCGATTTTCTCGTCTGACTTGCACCCTTCCCACTGTCCGGCCGCCCGTGTGCGGCAGAGCCAAGCCCTGTGAGGTGCTGCTGGCGGCAGGGCAACCTGCGAGTGAAAGGGTAGCCCAGCTGATGTCGGAAACTCGTTCTTCCTTTGCAGTGCAGTCCTAGGCCAGTCTGTTCTGAGAACGTACCTTTCACCATGTATTGTATTCGCCATGCATGCACTTAACTTTTAAAGCACAGAACTTGAAAGAATTTATAAATTTGAGAAGCTGTGGAAAAGCTATTCTGGACCTCTAGTCCAGAATTCTGGAATATTTTTTTCAGCCTTTTTTGTTTCAAAAAGCTGCTGGGATCACTCTGTAGCCTGTGTTCCCCATCCCTCATATGTTGGCTAGATACTGCCTGATGTCTATAGTTAATTGAGCCAGGCACTGTTGCTAGGCTGTCTGGACCTGGTGAGTGGATCTTTCAAACCGCCCTGGAACCCTAGAACAACCCGTGGCTTACAGGGTGCGTTGGAAGTCGCCCCACTGCCTCATCTTGGCAGGTCTGGGCAACATGGCAGTCTGGGCCTATTGTGAAGATGAAGTGGCAGGGCAAAGGAGCCTCCACGGGTTATTTTCCTTCCCGCAACCTCCAAACCCAGCAAGCACGTGTCAGTCACTCTGAAGCACCATGCATTAATCGCTGTGCGAGAGGCTTCCGGTTTATCAGATCTACTGCATCATTTACTTGAACTGCAAGACTGTAAACTGGTATGGTGCAAACGGCACGTGCTTAGCATTTAAGTGATGCCGAATCCAGGCATTTGTGTTTAGCACCAGCACTGAATGCAGGACGCTTGTCCACATGAAAGTTACCCGTGGCTTCGCTAAGCTTTTAGTGTTTCAGCAGAACCTCCTGAGAGGATGAGGGGGAAGGCTCATTTGTTGTTGCTCTTGTTAAACAAGCGGGATTTCAGAATCCTTGGGTGTCAGCTACTTATCCTGCCTCTTTCGCGCTGTGGGTCTCGCACTGGATTCGGTCAACAGGGCAACAGATAACTGGCCGTCGTGGCGCACTAACGGCGTGTCGGGTGACTCCAGCCCGCTCCCCCGCGGGTGGCTCGTTTGTGGGGGCGGACTGCCCTGCCAGCCCGGCAGCTGCGCCCGGGCCGCTGTGCCCGCGGTGGTTTGCCGCCGCAGCGCCTGGGCCGGGGCGGACCACTGAGCGACTTGCCGGGCCTCTTGCGGAGCACGCGTGGGCCGCCGCCACTGATGGCCATTCGCCCCAGTGGTCCTTTGGAGCACCTGCACTGGCTCGCCGCCCCCCCCCAAGCCCCCGCTGCAGACCCCGCGGCCGATGTCCCCTTACCCTCTTTTTGGAGATGGGCTCCTGTCGGGAGGGACTGCCCACGCGCGGCTCGAGGGCCCGCTGGCTCCCCTGCCGCTGAGCGGCAGCCCATCGTTAGGGCTTTTCTGCGCGCCTGTGCTTTCCTTCTTCGTCGGATTTTCTGAGTTGCACAATTGAGCGGTTCTGGTTGTCCCGAAGGCCCGGCCTCGCTTTAACGGCGCGCCAGGTGCGTGCTCTCCCGACCTGCAGTTCATGCTGTACAACACCCACGCAGTTGCGCAGGCATTCCACTCTCAGTGCTGGAACGTTTGCAACTTTCACCCTTAAAAGGCGCAGGCGGGCTTTTGCCTTTTATCATTGGGTTCGTCTGTTAACTTGCATTTCACTTCAGTCTCCCATTTGAAGCGGACTTTTCTGCCCAGCTAGTTTTGGCATTTTCCCGTGTGGATCCTCTGCATGGGTGGCATCACGTCCCCAGGAGGGAGCGGCTCAGAGTCCCACATCCCTTGCAGTCCGGCTCAGTTTTACATTCCACATTAACCTCGGGGGACCCCACGTTTATAGACTGGCGAAAAGCATTTGTCTGGCGGACTTGAGTGGATAGACTGATTTTTGGTTTGGATGAGCTTGTAGCTCCTGGTGGATATGATTTCCCAGCTAGAATTTGTTAGAACAGGGTGCAGCCCTGCAGGTTTTGCAACTTGAGAGCCTCCTTTGTTACTGGCAGGCCCTGGGTGAGTCTGAACATTTGGTGCTGCTACACCATGTAGACTTATAAATATCCATTATCAGGGAACAAAGACAATGCTCTGAGTCTTCAGAATAGAATCCTGAATTGGCGTTCTTTGTTTTGTCCAACTGATCGAGTTCTTTGTTGGCATCTATTTGGAAGTGGTGAAGTGTCTGAAGTTACATTTAATTCAACAAAAATGATGTTTCAAGTATATTGTATACAGTGCAGCCAGAATCCTTCCTCGCTCATGTGTTTTGTCAATGGCTGCTTTCTTCTGGGAGGAGGCGATTTGGGTAAAGTTTGTCTTGGAAATGCCTTCACTGTTTGCAGGGTGCATGTTCTCCTTCAGCACCTTCCTGTCTCTTGGAATTTAACAAGGGGGCAACGTAGCGTGGGAAGGATGCGTGGCCCTCCCACAGCGACACAGCCGGGGACGCCGAGGACACGCTTGGCCGTGAATGGGCGACTTTTAGGGACAGGCAAATATTTGCTCGGCCTCTGTTGAAATTTATGCATCGTTGCCTTTAAGAATAGTCCTATGTCTCGCTATATATACAACATATAGGGGTATGTTGTACACATACAACATATGTGTGTATTCATGGCAATAGACTCAGTTAAGTTTCATGTAAGAACATTTCCGTATTTTCTTTTTCCTCATTTTTCTTCTTTTGATTTTAAAATGCACAGTAAGAAACATAATTTTAAAAACAGGGTGGGCTGATGAATAGCTTATGCTGGGTTTCCCTTCTCAATCTTTGTTGTTCCACAAGTAGGTTTGCTGCACCCCTGGGTGATTACTGCGTCCGCTTCATCGAGGGCGGGGGGTCTTACGGGCATGCCTTCAGTCAGAGCGCAGCCCTCGCCTCACAAAGCCCAGCTAGCCTGTCCTGCAAATAGCGTTTCAGTGAGAGGCACGCCACCTCTGCTCTAGTAGAAGTTCAGCTTGCAGGCCGGGCGAGGCTGGTGCTGAGGCTCACCGCGGCGTCCCTTCAGCTGTGGCTCGCGCGGGCACGCGATCCGAATGCAGGACGCGGCCCGTGCTGCAGATGCGCGGCTTGGTTGCGGGGTGGGACTGGGAAACTGACTGGCAAGCACGACTGGCAGCTGGAAGGAGTCTGCTGAGGCAGCGATCCTCTGGTTGCTTTGATCTGGTGTGAGAATTCTCTTGTTTCGGGGAGCATGTGCTTGCCAAGCAAGATGTACCGTCGCTTGAAAATGCAGCAGCCTGATTGCGTTGGGCTTCACTGTGGTTTTCGACAGCGCAGCTGTATATATTCTCTTCCCTAGCACAATTTTCTGGTCCTGCATCGGTGTCGTGGAACATCATTACTCGAATATTAAAGGGTTGAGCATTTATCCCAGTGTTTGTCTGCTTGTTTTAATATACGCCTTGTTCGTAGGAAGAGGGAAGCTCCCACAAGCCACCAGGTGCAACAGGTGGAGCTGCTCTGTCGTTCCAGGCGTGCCTTGTCCCTGCCACTTCACTGCCTCTTCCTCTCGCCATGCAAGCGGAGCGGGGATAAAGCCACGTCTACACACAAGGCCAAGCTGAGGCGGGTTCTCTGGCCCCCTGCTCTGCTCGTGCCTGCAGAGATCAGAACTGCGGGAAGCCCGAGAGGGAGCTGCTGTCCGTGTGTTGGCTGAAGGAGAGCCCCACAGGAGCTTGCGAGGGATGTGTGGCTGCGGAGGAGCCTGGCCTCGCCACCATGTTGACTCAGGATGTCTGGCTGTCCTCGTCGGCCAGGGCAAGGACATTTCAGTTCACGCTTGCTGGCCTCTAACCTAACGTAATCATTGGGTGTGACCCCTGTGGAATGTGCAGCTCCTCTCGGATCCCCTAGTCCTTGACCTCATCTGGCTGCCCATTCTGAATTGGCCAATCCGGAGCCATGAGCAGGAAGGCAGTCCAGGTAAACGCGGGTAATCGAGTTAGCGGCTGCCAGCCAGGCAGGCTGAGCGCTCCTGCTGCCCGGTGCCTGCACACGGACGTCCTGCTGCATCCAGGAGCGCCCGCACGGGGCAGGCATGCTGCTGCTCTCCAGGCACTTTGCCCACGGCTCACACGATCCCAGCAAGCATGGCCGCCGGCCGGGGATTGTGGGCGCAAATTCCCTTGTGCACCGAAGCCATTTTCAAGCTTGTGGGATCGACTTTGTTTAGTAAGGAACCCTCAGATGTGCCAGCCAGAACTAGCTGCAAAAGACACACGCTTCAGATTAATAGATTGAGCCTGGAAATTTGTTTTGAGCTCAAGGACTGAAGTGAGACCACAGTCCGTCCTTACAAAAATCCACTCCTATTTCCCTTAAGCCGGCTTGATTTCAGCAGCACCTTGAAGGGTAGGAAAGTCACAGTGCTGCTGTGGACTCAGAAACCCTTGCGAATCAGTGGTGCACCGCCTGGCGGAGCAGCCTCAGTTCTGCACCCAGTTCAGTCCCCAGGGCATAAAACATCTAGTTCATCTTTCTCCAGTTCGAAGACCCCCATTTGTGGGCTCCGTTGTGGCAAAGCTTTGCAGTTTTATAGTGATGTATTCTACAAAGACTGAGATACGAGCATCCCTATTTATAAAGAAGGGAAGAGAGGTGCCCTGGTACTCCTATCCGTTAGGCAGCTGGAGTTGCCTTCAGAATTGTCTGCACGTTGACTTGTGACAGGCAAAAAAGGAGTTGTGTGCCTGGTGTTATTTCTGAAGCGTGGGCAACCCTCAGGCACCAGTGAAACGCAGCTTGAAGCAGCCTTGCCACCTTGGCGCTCTCGGGAGTTTCAGGTCAACTTCCATCTGCCCCACCAGCGTGGCCGGTCCCCAGGGATGCGCATCCGAAACAGCTGGAGAGCACCCATCTGGGGAAGGCTGCCCGAAGCCGTGGCTCTCATGATGGTATTTGGATGGGAGGCAACACGAGATGGTTGCTGAACCTATCGAGGAGCTGCAGCCAGCTTTGGAAAGGTGAAAATACTTGGAAAAGCAGGATCCTAAGAGCACTGGCAGATGTTACTGACTTTCATCTACTACAGAATGGTGGTTTTCACGATACAAGAACCATTTGTGACTTAAGAATATGCAGATTCCTTCTAAGAAGGCACATTTGCATGTGATATATAACAGTGTCTTAGAACACTCACCAGAGTCAGAATTGTCTAAGCACACAATATAAAAAGAGAAACATTTTATTTGCTAATTCTTGGAAATAATAGGGGACCATCAATCTAGTGGCAGATTTATGTCATGTTATCGATCTGTAATCTAAAACCCTCCCCTATAATACTGGTCCCTGTAATTTCCAATACTTCTATGTGCACTGAGCTGTTTACCTAGCAAAGCATCTAAAATAATACCCAGGTTTGCTAAAATGCAGCCTTTTTAGTTTCTACTGCTAGAGGAGCCTGCATGCTTCATCCAGCTCATTTTTTCTGCTTTGATGCAGATGGGGAATAATTTTGAATATCTGTCTGGTGACTATTAACTAGCCAATGTCTGAGCTAGTAAATGGGCAATTCAGACTCTGTGCAGAGGTTATTACTTACTTTGGAAATACTCAAGGAAGAAGTGAAAATTGATGAAAGATCCTTCAATAATTTTAAGATCTGCAGAAAAAACAATGCTACTGGCAGAAAGCAACAGCAGGGCTACAGCTGACCATTAAGAAAACAAAATTCACGAGTATGGAAGAATTACACCGCTTTAAGGTCAACAGTGAAGAAATTGTGAAAGTCTTGGCTTAATCATCAATTCAAATGGACAGGATTGCCAAGGAATTAGAAGCGGGAGACCTGGAAGGGCAGCCGTGAAGGAACTAGAAAAGAGAAAGTGTAAGGACATTCACCAGAGGCTGAGACCGAGGTATCCACAGTATTGTATTCCTGATCACTGTGTACCGGTGTGAAAAGGAAGCAAAAATGACCAAACTGAGGCTATTAGTGCTTATAAAGGAAGCCACAGCCTTGAAGAGCCGTACAAGGCTGTCATGAACGGGGCTCTTTGGAGGGCTTTCCGTTCTAGATAGGGTCCCCGTAAGTTGGGGTGACGGCGTGTAGCAGCAGCAGAGCCGTATCTCAGATGCTCCAGGTACACTTTGAGCAAGGTGACATGAGGGGAACTCAGGAAGCATACAGAGACGGTTATCTTTAAAATTAACCCTGTGGGGTAGCATAAATCCAGCTAAATGAATGGAACACCTCACTGCGTTTTACATGATATTCCTTTACTTCTCCTCCTCTCCTGATCTGTTCTGCAATCTTCATGCTTAGATCCTCCTCTCAAATGGATGGCAGTTTTATTATTATTTATTACATTTCTATACCACCCCATGGTCAAAGTTCTTTGGGCAGTTTACACAGTCCATTAAAAATAGACGATAAAAATGCAATAATATATATAATCAAAACAGATGATTAAAAGCAGGCAATAAACGAGGAAGAACAAAACAGTGACTGTGGAATACCTGGCGATCCACTTCAGGCCCCCAGGGGGCTGAATAAATCTTTTAAAGCCTCAGAGAAGAGGGTCGTCTTAATCTAGTACCAGAAAGATGACCGACTTGGTGCCAGCTGGGGTGCAGTGGAGAGGCCGTTCAGCAGATGGGGAGCCACACTGAGAAGGCCTTCCGCCTCGTGGTCCCCTTCCACACTTCCCTCGGAGCCGGCACTGCAAGGGCGGCCCCAAAGGCTGGGCCTCCGTGACATTCTCAGCACAAATCGGCTGTGTCCCACACTTTCAGCCCCGAGGGGGATGTGGCACCTCTTTGCATGTCAGTTCCAGTGTGGTTTATTTTTGCATGCAAAATTAACTTCATGGGAAAGGTAGGCTTAAAGGTTGGAGAGAAAATAGGTGGACTGGCTACACTTGGGACCCCTCGGTAGGTTTGGAGGAGAACGCCCCGCCATTTTCCGTTTTGGGATCTGCCGGCTGCAGCGGAACGACAACACCCGCCATTGCGGTAGGATCGCAGTTCAGCTGCACTGCAGTCCGTGTTTATATATGGCTCTTGCCGGGGACGGATATGATCTGTTGGGTCCGGTCATGTTTAATAGAGAGATGAATGGAAGCATCCTGTTTTGCCCAATACATGAAGGGTCTCATTGGTGTTCATTCTGGAAGAAGTGGCAGACCACAGATTACATTCAATTCCTCAGACTCGATCTTCTGGGCAGATTGGATGCCGCGGCGCCTGCTCACCTCGGGCCTCATCCAGTCACCCAGTCGCTCGAGGAGCTGCACGTTTCCCCTTTGTGTGCTGTGGTCGTGCCGAAGGGGAGGAGGCGGTGAGCCAGCACTTCTCCAGCGCTCGTGGTGGAGAGTTTGTCGGTATTTTCAACGTGCACGCCAACCGCGCATCGCGTGGAGTTTAGCGGGAGGTTGGTGCAAGCGGATTGCCGCTGCCCTTTGGCCAGGTGACAGCGCAGCACGGGGAGGATGCGTGGCCTCCGGCAGTGGCACAGCGGGAAGGCGAGGTTCACCTTTTATGCACAGGCAAATATTTGGTCTGTCTTCGTTGACGTTCATGCATAGCTACCCTTAAGAGATAAGCCTTGCTACCGGTACAGCATACAGGAGTATATCGTAAACCGCTTAGAGAGATTCAGCTGTGGGCAGTCTAGAGATAGGTAGGTAGGTAGGTAGGTAGGTAGGTAGATAGATAGATAATGTGCATATCTATGAAGCTAAAATTCCATGAAATTGCAACATTTCATACTATTTTATTTTTCCCCTGTTCTTTGTTCGTCTTCATTTTAGTTTGGGCTTTGATTTCAAAGGACACAGTAAAAGAAAAAAAATGCTCATCTAAGAAATTCCCAGATGGCATCTTCCTGATGGCAATTTAAGGCTACTTTGCCTACACTGCAAATCTGTTGTTGCCTGTAGCCCTCTTCATTGGCCAGATCTTCTGGGCTAGATCTTCTGGGTAACTCGCTGCAGCTTCTACATTCTGCTTCACCTTGGCCTTTTATGTTATGGAGACAGCTTCTTTCCGTAAACCTCATGAACCAACCTCTGCTAGCTTCACACTTTTCTTCTGCCGCTTCCCCAGCTCACTCAGCCTGCACAGAATTGAAGAGCTGGGGCCTTGCTCTGGATTAGGCTTTGGCTTAAGGGAATATTGGGGCTGGTTTGATCTCCTGTCCAGACCACCAAAACTGTCTTCCGATCAGCAGTAAGGCTGTTGCACTTTCTTATTATTCCTGTGTTCACTGGAGCAGCACTTTTAATTTCTTTCAAGAATTTTTCCTTTGCATGTACAACTTGGCTCATTGTTTGGTGTGAGAGAGCTTTCAGCCTATCATGGCTTTCAACTTGCCTCTCCCACTGAGCTTAATCATCGCTAGCTTTTGATTTAAAGTGAGAGAGAAGCGACTCTTCCATTCACCTTAGAGGCCATTAACTGGCGTAGTTTCAATATTGTTATGTTGTAGGGAACAGGAAGGCCCAAGGAGAGGGAGAGAAACAGGGAATGGCCAGTTGCTGGAGCAGTCGGAACACACACACCTCTCGATTAAGTTTGCCATCTTGCACGGGTGCGGTTTGTGGTGCCCCAACAGTTACAATATTAACACCAAAGTACAGTGATCACAGGTCACCGTAAAACTATTGTACTAATGAAAAAGTTTGAAATATGGGAATTCCCAAAATGTGACACAGAGACACCGACTGAGCAAAAGCTGTGTGAAAATGGCGCTGATGGACTTGCTTGGTTCAGGGTTGCCAGAAACCTTCCATGTGTAGACACCCCCCCCCCCCCCCGTGCAGTATCTGTGAAGCACAGTTGAATGAGGCACACCTGCATCTTCTTTGCACGGCTCTCAAGCAACTTACTTTTGGTAGTGAGTCATCCTGGAACCCATGGCAATGGCTAGCTTTCGACATCATACTAGACTAAGATGTGATTTGCTTCCCTCTGGCTTGTTTGTATGTCCAAACCCCTCCCTGTGGCTTGTTCCAGATCCACAAATCATGACCTGAATTTGCTTTGTGAATGGCAGGTGGCAAGAATAGGCTTCTGTTTACATCCGACCTTAATTCTGGTGAGCTGGATTGCTCTGCTGCCGCCCCTGCCTGGCTACAGAAAAAAGGAAGAGTGGCTGGGAAGGAACGCGCTTGCATGGCGCTGGGACCATCGTCCACCCATCCGTCCATTGTGCGTTCCTCCCCATTCTGCTCAACTAGGCAGCCTCCTTTCTGGGGCATGTGGCCACCACTGCACGGTGCCAGCAGGTGCCGGCCTTCATCCCGCCCGGCAGCCCCGCAGGCCAGGGAAGGGCGGCCCGAGGAAGGCCGGGGAGCTCAGCGGCACTGTGCATGAACCCGAGAACCCGAGAACAGCAAATACGCGGCTCCCTGTCCAAGTGGCTTTTCAGCCAGCCCTGGAAGCTAAATTGTGTGGTCAGCAGACAGTGCGCACCACGAGGGCCTGTGCAGCGTCAGCTCTTGCCGCATCCTTCGCCAAGGCAGCGTGATCTGAAGTAAGGAGGACGCCGCTTGCAGCCACTGCCTGGTGGGACGCGGCGGCTTTCCCTCCCCTTAGTCCCCTCCTGCCCGGCCTGTTGCCTCCGAGCAGGGAGCCCAGGCCAGCCGGCTCCTCACAGCTGCGGGCTCACGCGTAGCGGGGACCCCACAGCTCCTTCTGGGCCCGGCAAGTGCGCGTCACCCAGGGCAGGAGCAGGCAGCGAGGGGGCCTCCAGGTGGCCGGCCCGGGGCAACCGCCGGGAGGCTGCAGGTCGCCCGCCCCGGGGAGCAGCAGAGCTGGCCGCGCAGACGGGCGGTTCGCGGTTCAGGCTCGGTGTCGGCTTCAGATCAATGACGGGGAAGCGGCCACAGCTCGGCTCATGGCCGGAACGACCGGATTTTCCAGGGCGGGAAATTCCAGTGATGCAGCCCGCGGGGAGGGGACTTCCCGGGCCTGATCTCCGCGCTGCAGCCCCCGCGGGGGACCGCGGCCTCCGGTGGGGCTGCGTCGGTGCGCACGGAAGAGGCGCGGGCCCTGCCCCGGCCTGGCCTGCGCATGGGCGCATGCACACGCGTGCCGGGACACGGGTCTGCGCGCGCGCGCCGCGGGCTGCGTCGAGGCTGGCGGGCGCGCTTCTCCCGTTCGCGGCTAGCTGGGATGGGGGGGTGCTTGCGAAGGAAAGGAGGAGCGGTGGCACAGATCGGAAACAGAAGGCAGCCCCGCCCCCAGTGTGGGCGCGCGCGTGCGCGTGGGGGCACAATTGCGCACCGGCTGCGCCCTGGCTGCAAGCGCTCTCCTTGTGGCTCCATGCAAGTGCTAACGGCCATCCGGAAGGCTGCGCTCTTGGGATAGCAGAGCTGATCAGTGGCTGCAGAGGCAAATACAGCTTAGAATAGACTTTATTCTCTTAATACTCCAAGAATTCGAACTAAACTCGAGTTAAGGTGCATACACAACAATCATGCCATGTGCGAGTTAAGCTTTTCTGCCGCGCAAGCAGCGCTGCAGCAGCCCTTAAGCGAGGCCCTCTGCAGCTCCGTGAGGGACCTCTTGCTTGCCAGCGAGTCGCCAGTCGGGGCTGAAGTGTCGGCCCAGTGCGCTCACACTAAGGCCGAGCAACGCCACCCTGCAGCCACCCAGCACGGGACCCTGCCTTCTGTCCCGGACTCGGAGGGCGCATCGTTTCTGCACAGACCCGGTTTCCTGCCAAACAGGCACCGATTCTGAGCCTCCATGGCCCGCGAGGTGCCCTACTGCCGGGCACCAGGAAGCGACACACCGGCAAGGGCGGCACAGCCAGTCCCGGCTCTGGTGCCCGCCACCATGCTTCCCCGTGCGTGCTCGGATCGTGTCCCCGCGCTGCACGGGACTCGCCACGAGAGAAGGCGCTTCCTTTCCACTTCTAACCTCCTCTGCCTGGGAGCAGAACGACTTTGTTGCCCGCAGAGAGTTAGGCCATGTAACAGCATGTTGTATCACCTCTTTTAAAATGTGTTCTCTCCAACTTTTTTTCATCTTAGCCGGCGACTTGGGCTGTGAGATCCTCCACAAAACAGCAGAGCAAGAGAAAAGGGAATGCTGTGATCCAACCTCCCCCAGCCTGACTTAGCTTCCTGCGCTCAGCTGTTTTTCTTTCCTCCTCTGTTGGGAAAGCGATTTGGCAGAGAGATAGGAGTGCTGGTGGCTTCTGCGCTGGCCTGCTTTCTCTGCCAAAGACTCCTTCCTCCGTGTGGTGGGACTAGAACTCTTACAGGTAAGGGAGGCTAATGTTTTCGCCCTGCCACACTCCACTTGAGAGGTAGCCAGATAGTCTCCAGCACCTGGCATTTCCTGTGCCTTTTGGATGCTTCAGTGTGCAGAGAGCTGCTGTAGGAAGGTGAGAAGGCTGCCTGCAGCGGCACCCTGCAGCCGAGGGACTTCGCCACTCCCTGCTGGCTGAGCACGCCGTGATGCCTGCTCTGCTGACTGCGCTCTTGCCCCGTGTTTGCCACCTGCCACTGGATTGCCACTCCAAGCTGCTTATTTCTCGGTGCCTGGAAACCAGCCAGCCTTTTCTCCATCCTGACCTGCTTTTGCCGAGCTCCCGTTTTCACCAAAAGCCGGACTGTGTCTGTGGGGGGGGGGGGGGTGAAAGGGTCAGGGCCCAGCAAGAGCAGGCCATGTGATCTGTCAGGCTGCCAGTGATTTAAGGACTAAGTTGATGCACCGAGACAAAAGAGGGCTGCAGAGAGACCCAGCCAAGAGCCCCTGCCGGGTTCCCTGGCCAGCTGCCCCTGCGGGACCAGGCCGGGTTGCTCTCGGTGGCGGCCTGCGGGACGAGATTCACTCCCATCAAAGGCCAGATTAATGAGTAACAACTCGTGGGTGCAGCCTGCCAGGGTCTGTGACTTTCCTGGATTGCTGCAGCCCAATCGCATGACGGTTGTTTTGCCGATTTTGCTTCCAAGTGGTTGTTTTTGGGAGTGGTAAACTTGCTTTTCCAAGGCACAGAAAAGACCTCTGAAATACTTTCGAAACGTTCCTCTCTTCGGAGTTCCGTTGCGCAAGTGCGAACAGCAGGGAGGGACCAGCAGTGCCCTTTGGAAGTTCCACTCTCTGCCCCTAAAGGGCATTCGCTCCCTGGAAGAGGGAGAGGGCTGCATTGCTTATTCATTTCTTGGGCTGTTCCCTGTTTCTGGGAACTTATTCTGTTCTATGCAAGCTCAGCGGAAGCGAGCGCTGAAGAGCCGGCCTGGTCTGGAGGCTGCCGCTCGTCCCGGGATCTGGCGCATCCGCACGGAGAGGCTTACAGCTAAAGGCAAAAGGGCTTATCACTTGCGGGAGGGGGATGCAGGCGAGCCCAGGCGGGGCATGCTGGCTCAAAGGGAGGTCTGTTGTTAGCTGGGGGGGGAGGAAGGTGCCTCTTCCCAAGGGGGGGCCATGGCCCTTCTGCCTTTCCAGGGGAGGAGGGAGGAAGACAGGCACCCCGAGGACACGCCGGGAGCGGAGAGTCGCTCTCAGTCCGGCTGTGCCACCAGCCCCTTCGCTCCCACTCTGGTGAGTGGATGGATCCACGCTGTGTCTCCGCAGCAGCCAGACTGTCCGCAGGCATCTCGGGCTTGCTGCATGTTAGTTGTTAGTTTGCAAAGGTGAAGTGGCTTCCAGCGGCAGCAAAAGTTTTGTCTAATCATGGAAGGGTGCAAGGAACTTTGTAAAGGGTTTGTATGTGCAGTAATATGTTTTGCACCATGTTTTGAAATTTTATTTTGAATATGCAAACGAGACGGAACTGCCTCCCTCTTGGTTTCCCAGTCCGTCCACTTGCATAATGCCTTAATCACACACCTGCCTGTGAAGCAACTAGAGGAGGTACTTATACAAAGTGGACTCCAGTGGGTGCTTGTGAAGAGAGGGGAAGAGAAGAGGCAAGGCACAACTGCGCGGGAATTAATGACCAGATGCCTCCTTCAGCACCTTCCCTAGCAATAATGTTCTGCCTATAATGTCTATAGCCGTGTAGTCCAGTGAGGCAGATTACTATAATTTTACAAATAAAATAGGTTGAGAATGTGCGACTTACTGCTGCTTATTTTACATAAGTATTGCTGTTATTTTACAGTCTCTTTATTATTGCTGTTGCGGTTGCTGTGGTTGCATTGCTTAGCTAGTGCCACCATGCAGCAGGAGCAGCACAAGGCACATTATGAACGCCAGGCGCTCGGACGGCCTCCTCCGAAGCTCGTTGTGAGGTGCTGTCCGGTGGCCTCCAACTCAGGGTGGCCCTTCCAGGGGACGCGCCCAGGCCCGCCGCACAACAGCCCCGCTCCGCCTCTGTGGAGTCCGGCCGGGGCTTCCTTGGAGTCTGTCCACCTCGGAGCTGGCTTTCCCCTCCTCCTCCCGCCTTCGCCTGTCCCCAGCGGGATGCTGTTCTCCAGGGAGCCCGGCCTTCTCGCGATGGGTCTGAAGGGTGACAGCCACAGCCTTCCCGGTCTTGCTTTGAGGAGGACTCTGGCTCGATGAGCTCTGGGCTGGAGCAGCACGTGCACCTCCTCCCCTCCCGTGGCCGAAAACGGCCTCCAGCCACAGTGCAGGCAGCAGGTGTGGCGGCGGGGCTGGGGGAGGCCGGGAGGGCCTGTCCGCGTCATCGGGCGCAGGGGTGACTGCAGCGTGCCCCGAATGTCCGTGATGCTTTGTCGCCTGTTGCTCGAAACCTGTCATGTCTCTTAGCCGCTGGTTCAGATTAAGATATCCATTGATAAGTGATCACATCTGGAAAAAAACGAAGCCTGGGGAAACAGTGTGGCCCCGGCAGCCCTCGAGGGCCGCAGAGCGCTTCAGATCCCCAGGCCCAAGGCTGGGAGCAGCCCCGGAGCCCCTCCCCTTGCTCTGCGCATGTCCCAGCCTGTGTCCTGCGGGCGGCGATCCGGGCACGGGCTGGTCTGCCCATGAGGAGAGCGGCGCTGGCAGCCGTGGCCGCTCTGGCTGCACAGGTCACCAGCTGGCCGCCTCGCGGCAGAAGGGCATGAGAAAATGGCCCGTTCATGGTGCCTCTTGCTCTGTGACCGCGGGCACTGTGCAGGGTGGTGCTCGGCAGGCCTTCTCACTCTGGCTTTCACACAACAGAATAGCTTGTCTCATCGCGAAGTCAAAATTGATGCCAGAAAGAACAGTTCCGGGCCCTTCTGAGGCTCCGTGGGCCAAGAGCCGTTGCCACCTCTGGAGCAACGAGCTCCGTCGTCCAGTGGCGCACAGTGCTCTTATCAGTCCGGGTGAAATGGGAAGAAATGCTCCTTTGTTCCTTCTAGCGCAGGCTTGACATGTCTGATCTTGGGGAGACGATGATGATGGCATCCAAGAAGAGGGTGGCCATCGTGGGCGCCGGCTCCAGCGGACTGTGCTGCATCAAGTGCTGCCTGGACGAAGGCCTGGAGCCCATCTGCTTCGAGAGCAGCGACGACATCGGGGGCCTCTGGCGGTTCAAGGTAAGCCTGGTCACGCAGCTCTGAAGGGCAAAGGAAGGGAAAGCCCGAGGACCGCTCCCTCGCCCCTCCCAGGGCCACTCTGCCACTGGCAAGCGCCGCTCCTGCAGCATCCAGACACGTGCCGTGCCGGCCCGGGGGCCCAAGCAGCCTGCGAGCCCCCCAAGACCCGGGCAGCAAATAGATCCGCCAGAGCGCTGGGGAGTCGGACTCAGCCAGCCAGCAGCCCCAGGCAGGCCGGTGCCCCGGTGCCCTCAGCGCTCCTGCAGACCGGTTCCTCGGGTTCCCCCGACCCGCACAGCCAGCCTGGAATGCATGCGGGCCGCCCAGCCGGCCGCAGCTCTCGAAGTAGCCGGTGAGGAGCACGGAGCCGCGGACGTGTGCTCAGAAGTGCCCGCCACACAGGTGTGTGCCCTGAGCGTGGCGTGGGTGGCAGGAGCAAAATGGCAGGCTGGGGGCATTCTCCTGGCAAGCGTCTCTGGTGTGGCCCTTCCGCCTCAGCAGGTTTCCCCGGTGGCTCCGGAAAAGCCTCTCCGCCCTGGTGACGCAGGGCGCAAGTTGGAGCCTCGGCCTTCTCCCGTTCCGCTCCCCACCGCTGCCCGTGGCACCCGTGGGTGTCCCTTGGCAGAAGAGGGGCTCCTCCCCCGGTGCAGACCCTAACCCTAACCCTCCCCAGCGGGTCGTGGGCTGCTCACAGGAGCCTTCTCGGAGGAGCACCCCGCTGGCTGGCCCTCCCACTGCTGCCGGCACCTGCCCTTTTCATGCCTGCAGCCCACCCAGCATGGGCTGTGAGCCGGCTCTCGTTTCAGCCGAGTGCAATTCTAAAAGGGCAAGGAGCCTGGAAGAGAAGCATTATTTAGTTACGCTATTCAGAAATCCTAGAGCTGGCGAGAGTTCGCTGGGGCCCTGAGAGTGATCCCACAACACCCCAAAACTCACACCTGTGAGGGGCGACTCAGTTTCCCTGCTGTGGCTTGAAATGCAGGGCAAGTGCTCCAGGCAGCTGGCATCAGTCCCGCAGGAACAAACTCTGGAAGGTTATTCCCAGAGCAGCAGCGCAGGTGGGCACAGGCCCCCTCAAAGGTATTTTTGCCTCGAGCCGTGATGGGCTGCCAAGGCTGGTGCCGGTGCTTTGGGCTGCATCCAGAAACCTCTTGGCAGCCAGTGGGGGTGCCTGAATGCTGAAAAGGCCCGGACTCTCCGTGGTGCCCCAGAAACCAGCTGGGCTGCCACATTTTGCGCTAGCCGAAATCGCCAGAGTAGGCACAGGGGGAGCCGATGTGCAGAGCCTTGCAGAAATCGAGGCCACGGGTCCCTGGCACGTGCGCTGCTGTGCCCGGTCCTTCTCCTCCAGGAAGGGGCGCACCTGGCGCATCAGCTGGAATGGTGGCAGGTCCTCGTGGCCGTGGCTGCTTGTATGCTGACCCGGGGGGGCGGGGTGCAGGACCAGCAGTGCCCTCAGGCTGCAAACACGGCCCTTCGGGGGGGCGTGACCCACTGGTTGGCACAGCTCTGGTCCTGGATTCGGCCCCTTCCTGTGAGTCAAAGATCTGATTGCTCCTCCATACCTATTAAATTCCCGTAAATCTCACCTATGATCCCCCTTGTTTGCACAGTGCCTTGAGTTTCCCTGTGCAAGAGAATTGCTTCAAATTCGGTACGCTCTCTGCATTTACCGTTTTTCTCCCCCCTTTCTTTGGGCCTGTGATGCTTTCTCAGCATTGCCTGTCTGAATATGGCCACGTTGAGGGTTTTCTTCCGCGAAGGAAAGGGCCCCTGTTATGTACTGAATTTTATCTGTATAAGCCGTCCTGAGGCCCTCGCAAAGGACGGCATAAAATATCTTAAATAAATAAATAAAATTTCCAATTGTTGGGGAACAGGCAGCACGAAAGTTTCTAGCCATTTTCGTAAGTGGCTTGAACCTGAATAACACAACCTGAAATTATTCTCCCTGCAGGAGCATCCTGAGGAGGGCCGAGCCAGCATTTACAGGTCTGTGATCATCAACACCTCCAAGGAGATGATGTGCTTCAGTGACTTCCCCATCCCCGGTGACTTCCCCAACTATATGCACAACTCCAAGATCATGGAGTACTTCCGGATGTATGCCGAGCACTTTGACCTTCTGAAGTACATTCGCTTCAAGGTGAGAGGCGTGTGGTGCAGGGCTTCTCCAACCAAAGCAGCCGGTCGCCTGGAAGTGGGTGTTCGAGTTGCACCACGAGCGGGAAGGAAGGCACCCGTGTGCCCTCGCATGGCCGCAAGCAGGCTGCTCAGACGGATGCCTGGCGGCCCATGGCAGTATGCGCGGGGCCCAGGGGCCTGGCCTTAGCGTGCCGGGAGACGTCACGGCAGGGCTTCTGCCGCCCACGGGGCTGCTCGTGGCACGGCGGCCTCCCCAGGGGGGCGCGGCGCTGCTCGTCTGCACCCGGCCCCAGCGCTGCGCCCGCGGGGGCTCGGCTCTTGCCAGGGTGAGGCCACCAGCCGCCTCCAGGGATGGAGCACCCCTGCTGCTGTGTTTGGAAAGGTGGGGGTCGATCTCTGGACGCGCCCTTTGGGCCGAACGCGGGAGACAGACGTGCCCCCACGTGGACGAGCGCCCCGCTGCCTCTCGTGTGGCCCTCTCGCTTCCAGACTAAGGTGCGCAGCGTGACGAAGCGCCCGGACTTCTCTGCCTCTGGCCAGTGGGATGTCGTCACAGAGACCGACGGGAAGCGGGAGTCATCCATCTTCGACGGAGTCCTGGTGTGCACTGGCCACCACACCAACGCGCACCTGCCCCTGGACACCTTCCCAGGCAAGGGCAGCCGGCCCGTCCGGAGCAGGCCTGCCCGGGGACGGGGGTGGGGCGGCACTGCCGGCTCCTTCGCGGCCCCTGCCCTGCGCTGGCCAGGGGCTCGGGCTGACGACGGGCAGAGCTCCCAAGGCCGGGCCTTGCCTGGGGGACTCAGGCGAGCGGCAGAGCCGCAAAGCGGGAACGCCCCTTGCACGTCCCCTGCCCTCAGAGAAGAGCATGTGCCCCGGAGGCCGGGAGCCCCCTTGCTGCCCTGACGCGGTGCAGCTGCCCTCTCGTTGCTCCCAAGGTTTGGGGGCCTCTTGCTTTTCTCCTCACCTCAGCGCTGTCTCACGCATGAACCGAAAAAGAAAAAGGAAATGCAGTGGTCCCAGAGTCCTGGCAAAGCCAAAATATTAAAAAGCAGAATGAAACTGGAGTGTGTCTCATTAATTGGAGGCCGACATCCCCGCCGGAAGGAGCAGTCGGCCAGGCCTAGAAGTGTCAGCCTGGGGTGGGGGGTGCATTTTGCTGACTGTGGCGTCCACAATCCCCGGGGCAGTTTGTGTCGCTCCACCAACCTCCCTGTTTCCCTGCAGGCAGAGGACCAGCATGGCGGCCGTGCGGAGCCCATTTCCATGCAATGGGAACCTGACTAAATTCTCCATTTGCTTGCAGGAATTGCCGAGTTCAAAGGGCGCTATTTTCACAGCCATGACTACAAGAGTCCTGACGAATTTACAGGAAAAAGAGTAATTGTGGTCGGAATTGGGAACTCGGGTGTGGACCTCGCGGTGGAGATAAGCCACACGGCAGAGCAGGTTTGGCTCTCGGTTGCAGGGGTGCCACTTGATCTGGCAGCCTTGGACTGTTGCAGGGGAGGTGGGGTGGGATGAAGGAATTCTGAAAATATTTGAAAAAGATGCATGTCAGGAGAACTTGTGAATTCCAAGCCAAACCAGGCGGGGCTGATCAAGAGGAATTGGCTGGGGCGCCGTGAGAGCCCCTTGCCGGCTCCCGCACAGATGCAGCCTCTCCTGTCTTGGGATGCTTCCGCATCTCGCGGGTTCCCATGTGAGGCTTTTGTTCTGCTGTGGACTTGCCTCCAACATGGAATTTTTAAAATCCAGGAGGGAGAAAAGGTAGACTAGATGCACAGTGCCTTTGAAAGGGCAGCTCTTTCCTCCCGAAACAGCCCTGGAGGTGCCCAGAACCTGGCTGTGCGAGTTTTAAGCTTGGATCAGGGCGGGCAGCAAAGGGCCCCGAGAGCTGCTCAGGGCAAGCATCCGGGACGGACTGACCACGCCGCTGAGTGGGGCTGGAACTGGCATCTCCCAGCCTGGGCCCGGCACTCCAACCGCGTCGCCAGGCTGGCTCGCCCCGGGGGGTGTTTCCGTGGGGCTTCCACGGGATTGCTTTGCGCCCGTGCCGCTGGGACTTCAAGACTGTGGCCGCCTTCCCAGGCAGAGCTTCGCTGAGCTTTGCCATTCCTCAGGCAGGCCCTGAGCAGGCAGGGAGGGCAACAGGTGGCCTGCGGCTGGCGAAGGAGCTGCGGGTGGAGCGGGGAACGCTGGCAGGAGCAGAGGGCCCCTGCCTGGCCGCCTGTCGCTGAAGCCGCTCTCCCTGTGCTTGGCCAGGTCTTCCTCAGCACGCGCCGCGGGGCCTGGGTGCTGCACCGCGTCGGCGGGGGGGGCTACCCCGGGGACGCGGCGCTGACCACGCGGAGCAACATGCTCCTGAAGCGATGCCTCCCTGGGCCCACGCTAAACTGGCTGGTGGAGAGCAGGCTGAACGCCCGGTTCAACCACGCGCATTACAGCTTGAAGCCGAAGCACAGGTACTGCCGGCTGGCCCTTCGCGTCACATGGCTGCTGCGCAGACGTCCCGCCGGGGTGCTCTGCCCGGCATGCCGGAACTCGCGGGGTCGGAGAGAGCGGGGCCGGTGCTGTACCTCTGGTCGCTGATCGGGCCCCGTGCCAGGGCTGGCTGCCGAAATGCCTGCCAGCCGCTCCCGGGCGGACACCGCCTCGTGGCCCTTCCTCTGCCCTCGGCCCCCATCGAATCTGCTTCGGAGCGCGAGCCGGGGGGCTTCCACTGCTTCCCGCCATGGGTGGCCGCGCCTGCACGTGGCAGGCAGTCTGCAGCTGCCCCAGGTCATTTTGAAAAAGCCCTCCTTGAGTAGCTTTTTCTGCACCGCTCAACATTTCTGCCCATTCTGAACACAGTCCAGCCATCAGAATATGCCAGGACCCCTCGTTTTCCCAACTCTAACCCTACCCTGGTGCACACCCCTAACCCTAATACAGGGCTAAAGTTCCACTGAAAAGAGGGCGATTTTGAAAAAGCCTTCCTTGAGTAGCTTTTTCTGCACCGCTCAACCTTTCTGCCCATTCTGAACACAGTCCAGCCATCAGAATATGCTAGGATCCCTCATTTTCCCAACCCTAACCCTACCCTGGTGACCTCCCGTAACCCTAATATAGGGCTAAAGTTCTGCTGAAAAGAGGGCGATTTTGAAAAAGCCTTCCTTGAGTAGCTTTTTCTGCACCGCTCAACATTTCTGCCCATTCTGAACACAGTCCAGCCATCAGAATCATGCCAGGACCCCTCGTTTTCCCAACCCTAACCCTACCCTGGTGACCTCCCGTAACCCTAATATAGGGCTAAAGTTCTGCTGAAAAGAGGGCGATTTTGAAAAAGCCTTCCTTGAGTAGCTTTTTCTGCACAGCTCAACCTTTCTGCCCATTCTGAACACAGTCCAGCCATCAGAATCATGCCAGGACACCTCGTTTTCCCAACCCTAACCCTACCCTGGTGACCACCCCTAACCCTAACATAGGGCTAAAGTTCTACTGAAAAGAGGGCGGTTTTGAAAAAGCCTTCCTTGAGTAGCTTTTTCTGCACAGCTCAGCATTTCTGCCCATTTTAAACACAGTCCAGCCATCAAAATCATGCCAGGACACCTCCTTTTTCTAACTCTAACCCAGTGGTGGCGAACCTTTTAGAGACCGAGTGCCCAAACTGCAACTGAAAACCCACTTATTTATCGCAGAGTGCCAACACTGCAGTAAAACCTGGCGCCGCCGCTCCTTTCCAAGCGTGCGCATGGCCCCTTGTGCAGTGCGATCCGATGCTCGGCTGCTGGGCGATGCTGGGGCGACTTGGCTCGTGTGCCAGCAGAGAGGGCTCTGCGTGCCTGCGGTGGCACGTGTTCGCCACCACTGCCTTAGGGTTTAAGCAAAACCAGTGAGTATCTGAATGTGTCATTTCCTGACCCTTTTTGGTCTGAGCGAAGTCTCTTTGTCAGGCAGAATGTGGGAGGTGCTTCCAGAGTACAGACCCCGCACTCCTGGGGTCTTTGTTCATTTTCATATGATGAATGTATACTTGCTGCTCGTCTGTTATGAAGGACATTGAGGTGGCTGCTTGGGCCTGAGGGGGCACTTCTGGTGAGGGAGACGTGTGAAAAGGCACAGTGCCCCCCCCCCCGCATTTGTAGTGCATTTGGAACCTGTGCTGTTGCACCACCACATTCAGGGCCTGTCCTCTTTTGGCTCTGTTGCATTTCAAAACCTTCATCTATTTCGGGATGAGCCCTAGATCCTGCCTTAGGGGCCAGAAGACCTGCTCTCTAGATCCGCTTTCTGTGTGGGTATTTTGATTTGGTGTAGTGGCATATGAAAATCAGAGGTGCTATGCCTTTTAATTTGAAGATGGTCCCTAACATGTTCCACTTATTTCCTGCGGCCATTCAGAATGACACAGTGCATCTCCAGGCCCTTCCTTTCAGTGGGTCCCTGAGAAGGGGCACTGATCTGCCCCGAAGCGTCCTGAGCAGGGACGATTTGCGCCCTCCCCTTGTTCACGTTCCTGTTGCGTGTGTCATTGCGCTGTTCACGTTCCCGTTGTTCACGTTCCTGTTGCGCTGTCCCGGGACTTACTGTGTGACTCTTCGCCCAGCACATGTGGGCTCGGCACAGCCCCTCCTGCCAGCTTTGAGGTTTCACGAGTCTGCCACGAGAGCGGAGGTGCCCTTGGTCGCCCCTCCGGCCATGCCACATCCCAGAATAAATGCTGGCCAAGCTCCTTTCCCGATGTGGCAAAGCTTGGCCATTCCCAAGTGCTCCTTCCCTAGTTAGGCAAAGCCACACGTTCTTGTTCCCCATCTCTTGAGCATTTGCCTCCCTTCTGAATGCAGCTGCAAACAAAACCGAGGCTTTCCGCACACCGTGTGGCCTCGGAGAGCCAGGCTCTGGATGGTCCGGGAGCAAGTTCAGAGCATGGAGGGTAAAACTGGGCAGCGCCTGCATTTGTTTGACTGTGCAGAAAAGCCCGGGCAGATTCAGAGCCGGAATATCCAGAACAAGCCGTTGCAAGTCACTGGGTATTGCCTGGGCCAGCCACGCTCTCCTCGGGTTGCCTCTGGGCCACAGGGAGGCCTGCCGCTTGCCCGTCTCTTCCCCTGGCACCCCAGGGTCCGTTTCACACAGCCCCTGCCATGGGCTGTGCTGCCTTCACTTGTTCCCCACGCAGCCTGCCCTTCCTGGGGCGAAGTGGAAGCTTCTGCAAGGAATAACAAAGAGCTCCCCTTGCGGTGCCGACTTCGTTTCACAGCGTGCCATTGTGGCTTACCTCTTCCAGGTTCACGAGCCAGCACCCGACCATCAACGACGACCTCCCAAACCGCATCCTGTCCGGCAGAGTGCTCATGAAGCCAAACATCAGGGAGTTCACCGCGACGGCGGCCATTTTTGAAGATGGCTCCCAGGAAGACAACATAGATGCTGTCGTCTTTGCCACGGGATACAGTTTCTCTTTCCCTTTTCTGGGGAACTGTGTGAGGGTCGTTGAGAATCAGACTCCCCTCTACAAGTTCGTCTTCCCCCCTCACCTGGAGAAGCCCACCTTGGCCATCATCGGGCTGGTCCAGCCGCTCGGCGCCATCATGCCCATCGCGGAGATGCAGGGCCGCTGGGCCACACGTGTCTTCAAGGGTGAGCCTGGTGCGCCTCCCGGCATCGTGCGTGTCGGAACCAGGCGCAGTGCGGGCGAGTCAGTGCGGGCACGGCGGCCGTGGCCCATTCCCTGCCCCGGTGCTTTTCATCCGGCTCTGTGGGCCCAGCTGAGGGCAGTGGAGCCCACGACCACCCCGAACTCTCTCCTTCCGTCGGGATCTCGGGAGCCTGGTGCACGAGACCCGCACGGCCCCATCCTGACCAGAGCGCCTTGGGAGGACTTGCTCCCTCCAGCCCCAGGGCTGAGCGCCAGTTCTGCCGGATGAAGGCTGATGCCCGCCCCAGGGTGCTTCCGGAGCACCCCTCGCCTGCACGGAGCCCCTTTCCCCTCCCAGATGCTGCCCTTCAGCTCTGCCTCTTCTTTTTAAGGCCTCGCCAAGCTGCCCTCCATGTGTGAGATGATGGCTGAGATTACGAGGATCAAAGCAGCCATGGCGTATCGGTAGGTAGGCGGGAAGCGGGGCTGCCGGGCGGCATCGGGGTGAACACGTGCCAGGCGCGGTCTGAGCGCTGCTTCCTCCTGCTGCCGTCCACGGCGAGGCCTGGGGAGTGAGGCACTGGGCCCGGCCCGGCCCGGCCCAGCCACACTGCCTGCCCCACTGCTTTGCACTCCCTGGTGTCACCGGCCTGCCGGTTCTTCTTCGAGGCCCCTTGGGCTGGAGGGGCTGGACAGGGCTTGCTCGGTGCTGCTGGCTCATTCAGCTGGGGCATTCCAGGGCCTTGGACACCCGTCCTTTTCAAAGAGGTTTTCTAGGTATGGCTGCTCGGAGGGGAGCCTGAATTAAGTTCATATGGAGCTGCAGAATGTTTAATCATGGTTGAATTCTGATTTAATACTTTCCCATGCATTTGACCTTCAAAGTTCTACTGCAATGATTGGATCTTCTCTTTTATATCAGTGTCTGGTTTGCCACACTTGCCCAGAGGGGTCCTGGGGTCCTGCCTGCCCCTCTCCCCGCTACCGGTGTCCCGGGGCACCCGGGGAGCAGTGGCTGCGGCTGCAGGAGACGCTCACTGGGCCCTGCGGGCAGCCGCACAGCTTCTGCGCCCCCCCGGGAGCGGGGGCCGTGCAAGGCAGTCATCGGCGTGGGGCCACAGGCCACCGCTGAGGGAGCCACGCTTCTTTTCCCTCAGGTACGTGAAAAGCCCACGCCACACCATCCAGGTGGACTACATTGAATACATGGATGAGCTGGCTGCTCTGATCGGAGTGAAGCCCAGCGTGACGTCCCTGCTTCTCACGGACCGCAAGCTGGCCTGGGAGGTTCTGTTTGGGCCGTGCACGCCATACCAGTACCGCCTGCAGGGGCCAGGGAAGTGGGCTGGGGCCAGGGAGGCGCTGCTCAGCCAGCATGACCGGATCCTGAGACCGCTGGCAACCAGGCCAGTGGAGGACTCCAGCCACGCCGCGGTGCCCCTGTGGCTGAAGGCAGTCGGCCTCATGGCTCTCCTTGCGGCCCTCTGCACTTACCTCTAGGTCCCGAAGGTCTGTGTGTTATGTGCCAAGCGCAGTCCAGCTGAGCCCCACCTCCCCATCCCTTTCAGACTGGTCTGGGTTTCATTTTGCCCCCTGCCCCAGCCTGCACACAAATCGCTGTGGAGGCACCCTGGGCACCTGTTCCCACGTCCTCCGATTCACGTGCAGGCTGGGGCAGGGGGCAAAAAGGTTCTGCTGCGTGGGAACCTTTTTTAATGTGCATGTTTAAAAGATGAAACACAGAAAATAAGCACCTTGGAGCGTGTCTGGCGCTTGAACCGTGTGCGGCAACCGTGCGGCTGTCAGCCCGGAGGCGCCACCGCCGGGCGGGTCAGGGCTGGCTGGTGGGGCTGACGCAGCCGGACACGCCGGGGGCCGCGGAGGAAGAGGCCACGTGGGGGGGGCAGAAGCCCTGAGCATCTGCGGCTCCGTGCTGCTGCCGGGGAGGTGCGCGCCACGGCCACAGCAGCTCATGCAGGCGACGGTTCGCAGGGGGAAGGTGCGTCTGGCCCCTCCTGAGGCTGTGGGCACTGCTGCAGTTGTGGAAGGGGTGCTGCAAGTTCCTGGCCCCCACAGAAAATCAGGGTGAACGGAGAAGCGGAAGCCCCTGCCGCTCGGTCTGTGTGTCGGCGCCGTTTCCACTGCGGAAGAGGGTCAGCGACGCCTCCGCATGGCTCTTCGGGCACCCGCAGGTCTAGCACCCCCAGAAGCTGCCTGAGGTGCAGCGGAATCCATGCGGCCGATGGGGCGGCGTTCCCCACGACCCCGAGGGCACGACAGGGGCACCGGAGGCACGGGGCTGGCTTCCTGGAACACGGTTCTGTCGTCTGGAAAAGCAGCACGCCCAGGAAGCTGCCACGGCGCACGTGCTCCCATATCCGTCCCCCACCCCCGCACTGATATTTAATGCTGGGGTGAGACAAAGAGTAGGGCAATCGGAGCTGCCGGGGTTTGAGGCAGATGCAGTAAAAACCATGCAAGGCTGCGGGACCCCATGTGGAAATTCGTGCATAGACCAGACACAGAAGACTCAGAAATTCACTTGCAGTTCTTCCTGACAAGCCTGGAAAATGTTTCGCACAGTTTACCTTTTCATTTATTCTATCATGCCTTTTCCCTTTCAAGGAACACAGAAGGCTTCCATAATTCTCCTCCTCCTTAGAAACAAGCGTACTGCAAATGAAGCATTTCTTAAACATGTGCAGAAAGTTAGGAGGCCAGACAAAAGGGCAGAGCTCAAAGTATCTAGTCTAGGTGTGAGCACAGCAAATTACAGGTCTGTGTTAAGCAATTCTTGCCTTCATGATGCAAAGTTATCATCACATCATCCAGCTTTATCTGCTTAGCAGGTTTATTCTCTCTTGAAAGAATAACATAATGACATTTTAGCCCTAGTTTGACATTTCAAACTAGGCGGTTTTCCTTTCGGGATGTCGGGGTGGCAAAGGACCGTGCACGCTGCCCTTACACGCTCCTGAGCAGGGAACACGCTTGTGAGCAAGGGGCAGTGATGAGCCTGTGCTTTGAAGTTCCGACGGAGGTGAACCAGCTGCCGGGACAGGAGTCCTTGTTAGCTCTCTGTACTTCAGTATCTCTTAGCACCTGCGTAAGCATTACTTTTGTAACCATATACCGTATTTTTCGCTCTAGAAGACGCACCTAGTTTTTAGAGGAGGGATCCATGGAAAGCTTCCTGATAATCACAGGCACATGCCCCATCACTTCCCCATGGGCTTCATTAAAAGACAGGTTGCCATTTGAAAACACACACCGACCTGTGATTAACAGCTCTCACCTGCACCAGAGGGGGAAGGCGGAGCAGGGCGTGTGCCGGCCAGGTGGTGCCAGGTGGTGCAGGCGGGCGAGCAGCGTCCTGGGCGTCGGGCACACACACATTCGCTCTATAAGACACAC